TCTCATTTCTCCCACCACCTCGGAGTGCTGGACACCATGCCATGTTCGGCCCAGAGTCGTTCAGATGATGTTTCTGGGTTTGTGAGTTTGATAAACGTTGAAGACATGCACCACTCTGGGCGTTCTTCTCACGACGACACGGCTTGATGTCACTGAAATACTGTTAAATAACGTTTGCAACATGAGTGTCTGATACCATATGTCTGATACCATATCGAGTTGTTTCACGCAGCTGCGTACATACGTTTTAACAGAGTTCTAAGTTAATGGTATCTGACAACATGAGTGCAGTAATCTTACACTCTCTAACATCACTTAAGGATCGAATCTGAAAATTTAGGTGATTGTTTGGTTCACTTTGGAGTACTTGAAGCGAACCTTAAGTCAGCGTTGTAGATCGGAAAGTGGATGAATATATGCCCTCTACTGGGGGTATTTGAGGTAGCGCGCCACCAGTTAGCTGTGGTGGAAGGAATATAAACAAGCTGAAGTACTGTTCTTTATAATTGCTCTGTGACAGGGCGACTACAGCCATGCTTATTGCTTGATCTACGTGTACCTGAATGGGCTTTCCTCACCAGTTGTGTAGGATCTGGCATGTAGTTGGTGCCACCTACCCAGCGCAGATAGAAGTAGGAACAGAGTGAGTGGTGATTTACCCTCTGATGACAACACGTCCACTAAAACAACCACTGGTCTAGTGGAGCTGACCAGACTAATGGAAGACAGTGGGGGCAATCTAAACTTAACGAAGGTCTGCAAGGCTGTGTTGTAGGTTCGCCGCGCGTTGTCCGATAAGGATAACCCCTCTAATTAGTTTGCTGGTTCCCGTACTAAATATTCCAAATGTCCAATGCAACGGGTGTAGCCAAAGTGTGAACTTGTCCATCAGACACCTGTAGCCACAGCTATATAACTGGTATGAGTACAAACAAACACGACAATAATGTTGTGATTTAGAACAGTAAGCACGAGGCGGACCTCAGACACGACCTTGTGATTTTGGTGGGACTGTTTGTCAACAATGTTGACTATCAGCTGATTATCACCAAAGAACACGATCTGGTTGTTGAAGAATTTAGTTGCTTACAAGCAAAGTACTGCCGAGACTATAAATAGTTCCAGGTGTCACATCTTTGGTTGGCATCAGTATCAGGCGGTAGTGTTTGTTTGGCAACAACTTAAAGCCACGTGTTATGTTGTGGATGTTCTGTGTGGCAACTGTTATGAAGCGACGGGTTTTTAATTATTATAGATTGTTTAATTATGTTATGATTGTAACATGGTATGACTATGTGAAGGTAAAGCGAGTGTGTGTGTTATGACAGAATAAGCCAGCCTCTCCCCACACCTGTGCCGGTATTTACCCTACTCCTGCATTGCCCCTTGACGTGCGTCGTCAGTGATACCCTCACGGGTCAAGGTCATGTGTCCCAACCTCACTGAGAAAATATTATATTTCTAAACATAGTTCAGTGAGGGAATATTTAGAGTAATTCAGAAGCTATGATATTTCACCAAGCAAACACATCGCCTGTCAGGAAACTATTGGGCTATGTTAAGTGAAAAGAGTAAGTTTGCTGTTGCTCGCGAAACGAGGTCATTAACCCCTTACTGTCGATTGTCCACGTAAGAAGTAGGCCATGTGATTTGTCACATCCATGGCGTATGTATTCACCCATAACGGTGGACAAAACCCAAATATGACACAGGGATTTTCTATATATTCTATATCTTCCCCTCTCCCGACACAAAATTTTAGCTAACTTTCTACAGGAGATACATAACTTTCTATAGAAGATACCTACCTTTCGACAGAAATACATTTACACAATGAAACGTAGATAACAGCTAATGTACATAGTCACCAACTGAATCAGTACATAGAAAAGTGCAGAGTATGTGACATTGTATGACTATTCCTTCTTGCTTACATGTATCAGGAATAACTGTTGCAGGTAACAGTTCCAATAAGACTTGTATTTCGAGTTTTGGGGTTTTGTTAACCTGTTTTACATGCACAAAGGTTGGGTAAGGAAACTTTAGCCGTTTCATTATGCTCATTATCATCCAGTCTATCTGTGTGAGGGCAACGATACCTCATCATTATTAAAACTTTTTGGGTGTTGGACGTTTTTCTAGGCAAAACAAGTTCTGTTAAGCCAGTATGTCATTGATTATGTTGTTATGCGTTACGTGTAAGGTGACTATCTAAACTGGTGTGATAGGGCACTTGGTCACATCCCAATCGTTTAGTAGAGTTAATCACATCTGACTATGAAGATTACATTGTGTTATATTACATATACCTACATAGTGTTGTCAGCATCTCCATCTCATTACGATCACATGTGTGTTACAATCCACAAGAAAGTCCACCAGTTGTGTCCAAAGTGTGTACATGTTTTCTCAAGGATGGCGTGCTATTTGAGGTACTTAATCACATGCCGGTCCTGAACGGGGGGTTCCCGTTTTGCCGGACGCTTTTGTTATAGATAAAAATTCACTGATGCGCGATAATCCTTTAAACAATAGGGTATTAACTTATAGTCTGTTTCGGCCAAAGAAAGTACACACTGTTGAACATTTTTGGTACATTTTATCTTCATGATAAAATTCATAAATACATATTTCGTACATTTTCAGAAAACGAGAAAATGGTAACTGAAGACATAAATAAATATGCATAAATATTTTCTGAACTAAACTTGATCTTGATGGTGGTTGTGTGTGTTCCTGGAACTGGTGGGGTATGACCTCCTGAACATCATATGGTATACTTGAAACAACACTAGCGTATGTCTACTCAAGCGGTGTGCGTTAACGTTCAAAATATGTACTATACTAGCCACATAAAGAAACTGTGCAGTGTCAAAATATTATCCAAGTTGATAAGTACGATAACAATGTCAAAGGTACATATAAACTTTAATGGAGGGATCATGAGACCATAACAAGTCAATCACAATGACGTCACGAGTCCACAAGCGGGACATGGTCAAACGACCATGTCACAACCTCAATAACGGGTATATCCACCATCGGCATTGAGAACAGCAGTACATCGACGACGCATAGAGCCTATCAAACGTGCAAGGAAGGCTTGTGGGATGTCACGCCAGATTCTCTCAAGTTCTGTTGCAAGGTGAAGGACGTTATCTGGCGGATGAGGAAGACGGCGTAGACGTCGATCCATCTCGTCAAAACATGCTCTATCGGGGAGGGATCCGGTGAATTTGCAGACCAAGGCAGTAAGTCAACGTTGTGGTGTTGCAAGAAATCCATAGCAATCCTTGCCGTATGAGGGCGGGCATTGTCCTGTTGGAATGTTAACCCAGGGCCATGACACCCAGGGCCATGACGTTGCAGAAAAGGAATTGCCACAGGTCGAAGAATCTGATCCCTGTAGCCCACACTAGTTAAGTTGCCCTGAACAATCACCAAAGGAGTTCTTGGGCGTGCTGTTATTTCACCCCAAATCATCACGGAACCACCACCAAAGCGATTCCTCTCCAAGACACAAGCCTGTGCATAACGTTCTCCCACGCGTCTATAGGCACGTTGACGTCCATCACTATGGGAAATGTTAAACCGTGACTCATCTGTAAAAACAACATTTCTCCACCAAAACAAGGGTCTGCGGACATGATTTCGGCACCACATTTGTCGAGCTTGTAGATGACGTTGTGTCAGGATAGGCCGTATGGCGGGACGTCGTGGTCTGATCCCGTGATGACGTAAACGTTGTCGAACTGTGTTGGGGTGAATACGGCGAAGTCCTGGGATGGTTCGGGCAGTCATCACTGCAGTCTGAAACCTGTGGCGAAGATGGGTCACCCTTATCCATATGTCCTGTCTTGGCGTTGTTACACGTGGACGTCCAGAACGTGGCCGATCGATGACGTCATTTGTGTTCTGGCAGCGTCTCACCATTGCAGAAATGGTGTTCCGGTGGCCGTGGAAATGTGCAGCCACTTGTCGTTGAGACATTCCCCCACGGACCATCCCAATGGCCTCATGACGTTGTGCAGACGTGAGCCTTGGCATGCTATGTGTTTCAATAGCCGTTTAATTTTTGGAACGATCGCAAGGGCAGGGGTTGTGCTTTCCAAAGTGACAGTACTGTGTGGCATTCATTTGCTCTGAATGCACGTGCAACAACGTATTGCACGTCTCAAGGACGAACCCACTGACGTCACGGAACGTGGCACGTGCATGCATGTTGGATACATGTCACTAATCTCTGAGTTTAAATCCGTATGTGTGTACACAGGTTTGATAAATTTAGATTTTAAATTTCTGTATGCACAGTTTCTTTATGTGCCTAGTATATATGTACTATATTTTATTTCCGATCGACAATGTCAACCTCTACTTCAATCCTGTTAAGCAATACGTTTTGGTTAAGAATTTTAGAGGCATGCCTCTAGTCTATCCCCTGTGCAAATGTTTTGCTCATTGAAGATATTTCCACCGTTGATTCGTCTGTATAAGTGGTGGTTTATTGGCACACAATCAATCTTTGCCGACTATGTCGAGTTGCTTTAAGCCACACCCTTCACAGACGTCTTGCTTGCAGGTGACAGCCGTCTCGCGGTAGATGTTGCAGTTTACTTTCTGTAAGTGTAAGAGATGCTCGACGTATAGGGCTCACTGCAAGCCTCGGGAAGATCCGGGTTAAAATTGGTTTTCAGCTTGTCGTAAATGGCGATTGCCGGGATTGGGTGGTCAGGCTCGCTGACTTGGTAGATGCATGTCATCGTATCCCAATTGCGTTGATCGATGAAATGCATCAAAATCAATGGATCGACTGGTCCAGGATCGATAAATACAGGCCGCTTTCATAGAGCTGTAAAATTGCTGACGGAGACGTTTAACAACAAAGTAACCTCACACGTTTCACAGTACTTCCGTTTGTTAAACACTCCATCATTTGTGATATCAGCATAATGCGGATCAATTGACCAGACTTGATACATGTATTCATTCAGAAATAGCAATATGTTTTCAATTATATTTATTTGCAATATGGGATGCTATAATACATTCTTGAATAAACATGTTGTTGGACATCAAATACACCATATCAACCCACACGACAGCACCATCATGTTGCAGTACATGTATCGTTCACCCTAGCTGCAGTACACGTGTCAAGTGCATAACGCACCGTTCCCCGGCCATAATATCCCCGCTTCAAGACATCGAGTCAGCTTTCCAAATAACACTATTTCCTTTTCTTTGATAGTTCGCACCGTCCGGTGTAGGAGGATCAGGTCACTTCCAAAGACCAAACTGTCGTCCCCTAAGGATACAAAACCTCCCCTTCTGTAGGGTGAAAAACGCCGCAATTGCTTATCCAAACCATTGAATTGTCCATGTATACTTATATAATATCATACAAATATAGAATAAGCCACTGAAATATTTTGTAAATACATTTGTAAAATGAATAATGACAATACTGATAAAATACCAACATTCAGGCTTGTGCTAAAAACGATATGATTCTTCTGCGTGAACTGGTAAACAAAGACCTTGATGTAGAGTGAGCTCTGCGAAAGTATTAAAATATCTGACAAAATATATTTACTGACTGTTCCTGCAGTAAATATTGCGTCATATAATCTCAAAATATGAATCATGTGTATGTGATTGAAAGCCGATGTCACTCAAAACAGTCAAGTCAGTGTGGTAACAAAATCTGACTTTCACTTTAAAATATTACATTAGATTCTTTATGCTTGCAACGTTTTAACTGAGAGTCATGAATATAGTAAATTGTGGATTTCTTTGTATGAGAACTAATGTTGGTACCTCGAATTCGGCATTAAACCTAAATCCGGTGATTCGTCTTGCGATTCCCTTAGAATGTGGACTGAATCATCAAAATCATCATAGTCCTCCGCATGCGAACATACTTCTCAGGTCGACTGCATGGTGTGCACATATGAAGTTGGTTGTTGTCTCATTGTAGAGTGCATCATCAGGTGGATTTGTTATATGTCCGAACTCGTCAGGATATGTAACTTGTAAGCTGACCATATAGATTCCCTGATAACCATGTAATGAAAATATAGTGTAGGTCACACAACAGTCTGTGTTTGCTGTTCAGCTTCGGATTCCGATGCTGCCATTATAACCAGTTCTCTGTCTAAAGACCCTGACATTCTAACCTGTTCCACTGGATCTATCTTCAAGAGGATGTCTTGTGCTGGGCTAATATCCTTCAAATCATTATTCGAGACAAGTTCGGACAGAAATCCACAACAACTTGCTGCCAGTAGAAGGCACGCTGAAACACATGACATAAACAGTATGACGATTGATCGAGCTACTCGGGCATTTCAAGTTGTATTTACACTAAGTGAAAATTAAGGATAATTTATCAATACCGATAGTTTTGAAATTATGAAGTAGCATTAGGGTATCAACTAACATTTGTAACGATAATAGCTGTCGATAAATTCAAAGCTCAATGTCTCATAATTGTCTTTAAATATTGATATCCCTTTCTTAATTGTCTTTAAGTTTAAATCTCCTTACATTACCCGTGTAGGAATCTTGTCTTAACCGTAAACACATTCATATTTCCATTTTCCTAAATGTCCTTCAGTTCGGATCTCCAACTCTTAAATGTCTCTAAATTCATATATAATCCTTTTTCTTAATTGTCTGTCAGTTCAGATCTCACTCTCTTAAATGTCGATACATTTATGTATCTCTTTTTTCAATTGTCCACTAGTTCAGATCTCACTTTCTTAACTGTCGAGACATTTATATATCCCTTTTCTTAATGGTCCATGAGCTCAGATCTCCCCCGCTTTTATACACATTAAAATGGCCCTTTTCGTAACCGTCTGTCAAATTCAAAACTCCCTATATTACCTGTGTATATATCCACAGCTCCCTGTTTTAACTGTCTAGAAATTCATATCATTCTTATCTACCTATCTAAACTGTCTATCAAATTAACAGCTAGCTGTTTGACCTCTGAACTGAGAGATCACTCTTTCTACCTGTCTAGAAATTCAGAGCTCCTTCTCTTAAGAGTAAACTCCGCGATGCTGAATAATATACACATGTCAAAAAGTATCGCAACACCTGTGATTATTAACACCTATATAGCCATTTATATTTAAACCGTAATTACCTTTGTAATGGGTTTTTTGACCGGTCGGGCTCACCATACACTGATGTTAGATACACATACTACGACCACAGGCGAGCATCACGTGCAGTACGTGTACCCGTCATTAAGCAAATATCATTAAACTGTTCTTACAGCTCGATAACTTGGAAAACCAACTGATTTCATTGTTGATAAGCAAACAAGGGGTCTACTCAATTAACAACTGATCAAAGGCTGGCCAGAAAACATCAGCAAACTAATGACGTTAGGGACCGCCAGCTCTTAGTGACACCTGTTAGGGAAGCATATAACCTTTCTCAGAATCACAAGACTTCCTCCGCTTATGTCAAGTGGTGTGCTAAAAACAGAAAGACTTCCACATCGTCGTATGTCCACCAGAACGGTTTGAAAGCGCCTAACATCGACTTGGTATAGAGCTCAAGGCAGCACGATTAGCTTGGTGTCGAGCAGGACGTCACTTGAATTTGACGACATGAGGAAGGTCAACTGGTCAGACATAAGTCGATTTCAGAGTTCAGATTCAGAAACACTGCATATACACAACGGAATATCCTGGAACAAGTTGTGCTTGGCGGGGCTTCACTGATGGTGTGTGTGTGCGGTTGGGCGGGGTAGGGGTGGAGTGAGTTCTCTCGCATGACTGTAAACGATCAGACAATATTTGAATGTAAATCACTGATAAACTAGATATGGTTGTTGTATCACATTTCGATGGCCATCCTCTGAACACAAGGTCAGGGTTCATGGCACATCGCACATATACCGTTGGTCATTTCACACGTCTAGAGACAGACAGAAGTCAAGATCCCAATCCCATAGAGAATGTTTGGGACATTATGGGTCGCGGATTACGTAAGAGATATCCCCCAGTACAAAATCTTGATAAATTGGAACAAGCCCTTCATCAGAATCGGAACGCAATACCTCAACGTCAAATTCAACGTTCAATACTGTTAGTGAGGTAGAAGATCAGGAATGTCATTGCAGTTGGCAGAGCTTACACAAGATATTCACATTGTGCTCGGTTATTGATACTGTTGTGATTTATTGAGGATTGTAGGCCAGAAGCTTGAAAATGACAGCACTGGTTGGAGTCATACGATCATTGGTATCAGTACAACAAAATGAGTCGATTGTTTGCTTCTCTGAATAAACTATAGTTTGTCGTGTTTTTTTATAGTTAACATTTGTCATTTAATTATTTGAAGGTCGATCCAGATCGTAAGTTCAACTGAGGCTTGGATGGATTCCTCTTCTGTTGTTAATAGTAAAATATTGATATCGTGAACAATATGGGGTGTTCCGATACTTGTTCCCATTTGTATATATTGAAGCAACAGTAAACCCTGTTCACTCACTGAAGTTCAGACAGCACTAGCAAACATCAGCTGTTTTGACCAACTCCCCAAAATGAAAATGACAAACATGAAGCACTCGGTCATTCAATATCTTGTGTACCCTCCTCGCGGGCCCAAGACACAGGTGCACCTTGTTCTCATGCTCCTTATCAGGTCCATAAAGAAAGCTTGCGTAATCGCATTCTATTCCTCTACTAGAGCTCTGCGGAGTCCTGGGAGATCCACTGGTGCTAGGTGACGTGTGTACACACGTCGACCGAGTTTATCCCAGGCATGCTCAATTGGGTTGAGGACTGGCGAGCTATAGATACACCCTGCTGTCCAAGGAATTCTGTGACAATCCTGGCCCTTTGAGGCCAAGCATTGTCGTCTTGCAGTAAAGAGGGTCGACCATAAAAGCCATGCATAGCTTGCAGGAATGGTACTGCCATAGGAGCCAGAATCTCGTCCCGATAACTCTGTCCGGTAAGATTACCGTCGACTACGTGCAGTGGCGTACGTCCAGAAGGAGTTATCCCTGCCAAAATCATGACAACCCCCCGCCAAATCGGTTATGTGTGGCCACAGTTGCATCTGTGGTTCGCTCTCCATTGCGACGATAAATCCTCTGCCGACCATCATGGAAGGACAAACTGAATCTGTTTTCATCTATGAAGGGCATTCGAGACTGTTGACGTTGATTCCAGCGGCCATGACGTCTACTCCATCTCAAACGCGCCTGTCTGTGACGTGGTGTTAATGGTAGACGAACTGCAGGTCGCCTACAGCGGAGTCCGGCTGCCCTTAAACATCGACGAATGGTGCTCCTGGATATCCATACATTGTTAACATTGAAGTGTTCAGTCTGAAGATCTGCTATGTTAAGGAATCTTTTACGTAACGCAGTGTTAATCATGTGCCTATCATCTCGGACTGTTGTGACTCTGGGGCGACCTGGTCGACGTGCATATTCCACGGATTCATTGGCTTGAAATGTCTGCCACAGTCTACCAATAGCGCTCTGACTCACATTAAAGAGGACAGCAACCTGCCACTGAGTTTAACCAGATTCCAAAAGGCCTATAGTCTGACCCCTTTCGGCAAGTGTAAAAAACCCGTCTCATTTTAAGCTGAGATTTCAAAGCGGTAACTGAACAGTGAACGACAGTGAAAAAGCACCAATGCATGTGTATTGTCCTCCACTTTCCATGGATAGAGCGACTTGTACGAACAAATCGTTGACATTAAGTGGCAGGTGGATTTCCATATTGACAATTTGAATAAAAAATGTGTCATGTGGAACAGAATGTATCGGACGTTAAAGAATGTAATAATGACATTTCAACGGCCTGATGTGTTTTTTCCATACTGTTAAGAAGGTTTGCAAAATATTCAGTTGTACATATTTCAAACAAAAACGAAGATATTACAACTTTTAAGAAACAGTGTTACCAATAGCTTGATCCTTCATTAATGACGGCGAGTATATCTTCAGATATTCACTGAGCCTGGAGAACGGCGTACCTGTTGACAGTGTTGAGATCTGGCATCATATTAACCGAATTTAAATTTCACCCGCACCATCAGTTATAACATCACCGCCAGCCTAACACAACAGATTGTATTGATTACCAGAACAGTTGTACCATTATCATTACTACTCACCTGTGAAAACAAACAAAGCGTAGTAGGAATTTGTCTGACGCCAAATGTATGCTGCAAAAAGAATAGCACATTTTACTGCACGCATTATTGTCTGTACATTGACAGAGCTTGTGACGTGTACATAAATAGAAGTAATCTTGTCCATTAGGATTGCCACAGTAATGGAAGGATGTAACGAAAATAATTGTGGAAAACATACATCATGTTATGTGTTGTACCACAATTTCTTAAAAGCTATTTAGGATAAAAGTGGTATTGTCACAGCGCAAACTACTTCAATAGTCTTCTTTAAAATTCCACTTATGACACATGCCTAATTGTTTTAATGCGTTTGTTTAAGATATTCAGTAAACATCCCCTCTGATCATGAGCATCTCCATAAGTCATCGAATGTTATGTTAGTAGAGGGGCGTGGACCAGTGACCTACCAGCTCAGTCTACAAAACCAAACGGACATTTTCAACGGCTGCCATTAAAATCGCCTTTGAAGTGGTTTCCACTTTGACAATAAGTCAGAAGAATGAGGACAACGTTTAAGGATATACAACTTCTTTATTCTGTATAGGCGACGTTTCGACATAGATTCAAATGTCGTTGTGAAGCAAGTGACGACAACGACATTAGAATCTATATCGAAACGTCGCCTATACAGAATGAAAAAGTTGTATATCCATAACAATTGTCCTCATTCTTCATCTTCTCAACTTCTAGAATGCCAATCAAAGACGTAATAATTCAGAATGTTGTATTACCTGCTATTGGGGGGCCAACCAGGTTCCCTATGCCAGTGTTTAGGAACATGAATCCGAATCCATACGCAAGATGCTGTAGACCCACTTTTTGTAGAGTAGTAGGCCCCAAGATGACATAGATACAGGTGAGGTATGTACCGATACAGAAGGTATACATGTACCTCCCCGCCTCTGAATCTGCTAGAAATGGCAGCAGCAAAGTCAGAATGCCTGAAATACCACAATTACTCGATAACAGAATCATTGTGCCTATTTTTGGGTCGTTTGTCATGACACCAGCCAAAACACGCGATATGAGACCTCCACACCCGATTACAGAAGCTGCCATAGCCGATTCCTGGTGTGTGGAGCCTCTAAGGTTGAAGAAATCGGGGATGAATGTCGTTATCACAAGGAATGATGTATTGAATAAACACACTCCAACCATGAACAGTAAAAAAGGACCATTTGTCAATATAGGTTTCATCTGTTCAATGACACCAGTCGCCCTCTGCACACAGGGAACTGTTACACGTGAAGGAGTTTCTTCTGAACTTCTCTTGTGCTTCCCTCTTTCAAAGGAGGAAGGTCGTAGAAGAAGACCACATATGCAAGTATGAAGTGATACAGCTCCCATCAGCATGAGCGCTCCGTGTACACCATACCAGTCAATAAAGGCCTGGACTAGACGTGGATGTATCAACATTCCAACTCCAACTCCAGCTGTGGTCAAGCCAGAAGCTATGCTGCTATCCTCTCGAAACCAGTACGCAATGTTGACATTGGTGGTAGCAAAGGAGGTGCCACGGCCTATACCTGCAGAAATAGTTAGACATGTTACTTGCGGTGACCCAGTGTTTGAGTATCTCTAGAAAAACATTATCTATTGGCAGATATGCACACTTTGTTTAAATTAGCGTTAGCATAGACTTATATAGCCTCCAGATAGCATCTTCCTCATCGAAATACAAGTCTGTCTGACAGTCGGTTTATGTGTGACACGTATTAAAGGTTTAGGACTATGTATTAAATTTAGGACTATATTTAACACGTGTACATAATTACCCCCAAACAAACACAGTAAAATAATAAACGTACGATGTTCATTTTTCTATCTTTTTTACAAAACTGTTTGAAAATGATTTTTTCATGTACTTTCTGCTACAACGTATATTTCACACACATACCGATAAACATATAGCGTAACAGTGAGTCCGGACAAACAGTCCAACATAACTAACAGTTGAAGGATCTGAATGAAACGAGGATTATTAATGCGTATAGAGAAGAATGTAAGGTGGTAGCCTGATAGAGCATTAAAACAATACGACACAGTAGCTCACCTGAATTAGATAAATAGGGAGAACATGAAGACAGAGCCATTCATTTCAATTCAATCTTCATTTCGGTGAACTCTTACGGAATCTGTCATAACTACCCTAATACGTGGAGGAATAATGAAACGTTTGGCTTGAACGCGTTGCCTTGGAAAACCAAAATATAAAAAAAAAAATTCTTGAAATCAAAGGCCCCATTTCGACAATCCTTTCACCTGATTAATAGCTCCACGAGTGAGAGAGGGAGTATGATTTTACGCCGCTGATATTTCATTCAGATACTTCTTGCTCAATTATAAGGGTGACTGGGCGGTGGGGTAGCATAGTGGTTAAAGCGTTCGCTCGTCACGCCGAAAGCCCGGGTTCGAATCCCCACATGGGTACAATGTGTGAAGCCCATTTCTGGCGTCCCCCGCCGTGATATTGCTGGAAGATTGCTAAGGATGACTTCAGAGGGTTGACTTCAGCTTTCCAAAAGTCCCTCTATATCGAGCAATGTTCCAAGATTTCTTTCTTACGTTTCATAACATTTAAGCTACAAACAAACCCACAGTTGAACAGTATTACACATAGATCACGGTGTATCAGCTGTATGTAGAGTGTAAGCCATGTTGAACAGTATTACACTTAGATCACGGTGTATCAGCTGTATGTAGAGTGTAAGCCATGTTGAACAGTACTACACTTAGATCACGATGTATCAGCTGTATGTAGAGTGTAAGCCATGTTGAACAGTATTACACTTAGATCACGGTGTATCAGCTGTATGTAGAGTGTAAGCCATGTTGAACAGTACTACACTTAGATCACGGTGTATCAGCTGCATGTAGAGTGTAAGCCATGTTGAACAGTACTACACTTAGATCACGGTGTATCAGCTGTATGTAGAGTGTAAGCCATGTTGAACAGTACTGCAGTTAGATCACGGTGTATCAGCTGTATGTAGAGTGTAAGCCATGTTGAACAGTACTACACTTAGATCACGGTGTATCAGCTGTATGTAGAGTGTAAGCCATGTTGAACAGTACTATAGTTAGATCACGGTGTATCAGCTGTATGTAGAGTGTAAGCCATGTTGAACAGTATTACACTTAGATCACGGTGTATCAGCTGTATGTAGAGCAATGTTGAACAGTATTACAGTTAGATCACGGTGTATCAGCTGTATGTAGAGCCATGTTGAACAGTATTACACTTAGATCACGGTGTATCAGCTGTATGTAGAGTGTAAGCCATGTTGAACAGTATTACACTTAGATCACGGTGTATCAGCTGTATGTAGGGTGTAAGTCATGTTGAACAGTATGACACTTAGATCATGGTGTATCAGCTGTATGTAGGGTGTAAGCCACGTTGAACAGTATGACACTTAGATCACGGTGTATCAGCTGTATGTAGAGTGTAAGCCATGTTGAACAGTATTACAGTTAGATCATGGTGTATCAGCTGTATGTAGAGTGTAAGCCATGTTGAACAGTATTACACATAGATCACGGTGTATCAGCTGCATGTAGAGTGTAAGCCATGTTGAACAGTATTACACTTTGATCACGGTGTATCAGCTGCATGTAGAGTGTAAGCCATGTTGAACAGTATTACAGTTAGATCACGGTGTATCAGCTGTATGTAAAGTGTAAGCCATGTTGAACAGTATTACACTTAGATCACGGTGTATCAGCTGCATGTAAAGTGTAAGCCATGTTCAACAGTATTACAGTTAGATCACAGTGTATCAGCTGTATGTAGAGCCATGTTGAACAGTATTACACTTAGATCACGGTGTATCAGCTGTATGTAGAGTGTAAGCCATGTTGAACTGTATTACAGTTAGATCACGGTGTATCAGCTGTATGTAGAGTGTAAGCCATGTTGAACAGTATGACACTTAGATCACGGTGTATCAGCTGTATGTAGAGCCATGTTGAACAGTATTACACTTAGATCACGGTGTATCAGCTGTATGTAGAGTGTAAGCCATGTTGAACAGTATTACACTTAGATCACGGTGTATCAGCTGTATGTAGGGTGTAGGCCATGTTGAACTGTATTACAGTTAGATCACGGTGTTTCAGCTGTATGTAGAGTGTAAGCCATGTTGAACAGTATTACACTTAGATCACGGTGTATCAGCTGTATGTAGAGTGTAAGCCATGTTGAACAGTACTACAGTTAGATCACAGTATATCAGCTGTATGTAGGGTGTAAGCGATGTTGAACAGTATGACACTTAGATCACGGTGTATCAGCTGTATGTAGGGTGTAAGCCATGTTGAACAGTATGACACTTAGATCCCGGTGTATCAGCTGTATGTAGGGTGTAAGCCATGTTGAACAGTATGACACTTAGATCCCGGTGTATCAGCTGTATGTAGAGCCATGTTGAACAGTATTACAGTTAGATCACAGTGTATCAGCTGTATGCGGTCTGTAGAGAATTAAGGTGAGGCAGCTGTTCGGCGTTCACTGCGTTGGTGCTGACAAACCTTGAGACATAACAAGACATTAGGATTTCACCCTCGGTGTTTTTAGATCAAGTGGTTCATGGCATGCCCAAACGTCGCAACCCTGCACATCCACTGCGTGGTCTACATTACACGACGTCTACTCACCTATAAGAACACCGAAGCCCAAGAAGAGAACCCGCAAATCGGACGTGAAGCTTCCAATAATGAAGCCAAGAAATGTGACTATCCCTGCGGTGACAGTTGCAACTCGACAACTGGTCAATGTGATTAGAAGGCTGCTTACTGGTCCTGTAAAATGTAGGATACACACTGTACTGTACGAAAGCCTGGTGGTGTTAACATGGAAGCATTAGTTTACATTTGTAAAGGATCGGCGGGGTAGTTTGGTGCTTACAAAGCGTCTACCCGTCAGGGTTCGATTCCCCACATCTGTTCTGGTACACCTGGTACTCCCCGCTGAACAGTGCTAAAAGCCGTTTAAAATAATATTCACTTACTACTATTTCAAACTGAAATTTCTGGTAAACATATATGTACGCAAATTTATTTTCGACATTTGGGGTTATTTCTAGTTACTTCGACTGTGGTTTCGATTATTTTCTCATCATTTCAAATTCACCTAAATCGAAATTTCCGGTTACAATAATGCGAGAATAGTCGAAACAACGAGAAAAACATTAGACATTTCCAGTATTTGATATACTTGAAATAACTAGAAAGTAATAGCAATACATAAAAATATAATCGAAGTAACGAAAAAAAGTAGAACAGAAACAAATAACGAGAGATAAATAGATATATACTTTAGTTAGGTCCTCGTCGTACTGCTACAGCGTCGTCACTTCACGTTAAATGCCCCAATTGAATATATACAAATCCTAGACGTATGATCGTGTGTAACAATAACGTGGTATGACGATACTTTGACTTTCTCGTTGATATTAACTCGCCAACTTAGATTAAGTTTGCATCATACCTCCGGTAAAATGGGAAAGGATACGTACCCCCAACAGCGTGCATCATGTTGGACACAGCCATGAGCCAGGACAACGTGCTGACGTCATACAGGCCAGTATCCTTGAAGGCCACCAAAAACACGCCGTTGGAATACATCGATGAGGAACAAAACAACAGTGTTGAAAACGAAGCGGCAACGATCATGTAACGCCAAGCGTCCGAGCGTGTGTTCTCGTCCATTTTCGTCAAGAGGTCGCCGTTTACTACAAAAGCAGTGTTCGTTCATTATGTACAGTCATTAAACATACCATACTAGCACTTTCCAGCACATATTCCTTGAGTCACACATCAGTAATTGTTAAGCTATGCAGTTTATTATTTTTGCTATTTATTGTTTTAATAATCGTGAAGCATAATCAGTTCCGCCAATAACCAGTTGAATAGATCTTGTGTTCGTCACTTGTTGACGTCTTTCTGCTGTATTCAGTGTAAGCGTAGGTGTACCTACTGTAGTGTTGGTACATACTGTAGTGTTGGTACATACTGTGGTGTTGGTACCTACTGTAGTGTTGGTACATACTGTAGTGTTGGTACCTACTGTAGTGTTGGTACATACTGTAGTGTTGGTACATACTGTAGTGTTAGTACACACTGTAGTGTTAGTACACACTGTAGTGTTGGTACCTAGTGTAGTGTTAGTACACACTGTAGTGTTGGTACCTACTGTAGTGTTGGTACCTACTGTGCTGTTTGTACCTACTGTGGTGTTGGTACCTACTGTAGTGCTGGTACACACTGTAGTATTGGTACCTACTGTAGTGTTGGTACCTACTGTAGTGTTGGTACATACTGTAGTGTTGGTACATACTGTAGTGTTGGTACCTACTGTGGTGTTGGTACCTACTGTGGTGTTGGTACCTACTGTAGTGTTGGTACATACTGTAGTGTTGGTACCTACTGTAGTGTTGGTACACACTGTAGTGTTAGTACACACTGTAGTGTTGGTACCTACTGTAGTGTTGGTACATACTGTAGTGTTGGTACCTACTGTAGTGTTGGTACCTACTGTAGTGTTGGTACCTACTGTAGTGTTGGTACAGACTGTAGTGTTGGTACCTAGTGTTAGTGTGTAGTGTACCTACTGTAGTGTTAGTACACACTGTAGTGTTGGTACCTACTGTAGTGTTAGTACCTACTGTACTGTAGTGTTGGTACCTACTGTAGTGTTGGTACATACTGTAGTGTTGGTACCTACTGTAGTGTTGGTACACACTGTAGTGTTGGTACATACTGTAGTGTTGGTACCTACTGTAGTGTTAGTACACACTGTAGTGTTGGTACATACTGTAGTGTTGGTACCTACTGTAGTGTTAGTACACACTGTAGTGTTGGTACGTACTGTAGTGTTGGTACCTACTGTAGTGTTGGTACCTACTGTAGTGTTGGTACCTACTGTAGTGTTGGTACACACTGTATTGTGTTGTAGTGTTGGTACATACCGTAGTGTTGGTACCTACTGTAGTGTTAGTACACACTGTAGTGTAGGTCATCTGCCCTTGATGCTTTTCTGTGTATTCCAGAGCGAGGTCTGTCCTTTACTCTACCAGTGGCCTCGAACCTGTCCCTCAGTCTATGAATGACAGAGGGAGACACCTGAAGAGAGAGAGCAGCACTTCTTATGGATTCACCATCCTGTAACCATGCAATGGCCCTGCTTCTGTTGCAGGCGCTTAACGGTTTGTGCTGTGGCATGGTGAAGAAGATGTGAAGGCTGTCTTCCACATGCACTAGGCTGTTGTGTTTGGGCGTTTGACTCAAACATGGTTCTGGTGTGTTTCAGCACCCTTGTTTTTCGCTGTTTTTAACAATGTTTCATTTCACTCAAACTCAACGAATATTGAATCAGTTGCTTCACTGCATGTTCCAACATGTCGTTTAAAGTACCCATTAAGCACACAAAAAGTTGCATTTACCTTAGAGTATAAATGACCTCACCACGTTTCAGTTTATGTATGACTATCAAATTTTAGGGTGTTCCCTTATATTTTGTTTGTAGTATATAACGAAATCAAAGGACGTAATTTCCACTCACTAATAAACATAAACACAAGGATATTGTTTGTGTCGCTTTTCTTGTGTGTCATGAGGCTAAACTGGCATGAATATGTTTGCCACAATAGTTTCTCTGAAGTGCAATATTATTTTCTAAAATTGCCTACCGCCTCTCCCATCATAACAGGTTTATCTACCAGACATGCATACCACTCAGATCATAGAGCGTGACTCAGATCATAGACCTGTGGGTCAAAGTCCAATAGTTCTATATGCTAAATGATAAGGCAATGAAAGATGGACTTACAATTGGTCACTATATATTCATGTTTAGCAATTAACTATGTCCATAAAATCCATAATCGTAATAAATACCTGGCAGGGTTGACTGCACATTTTCCACCTCTCAGAAATGACACGTGTGCTTGAGAAAAGGTGAGTTCACCCTGCCCACCGTTGAGACACACAACAAACACATTCAATCGCGAGCCAATAGTTCAGACAGATTCTACAGATATTTAGGCATTATGTTTACACCCAAACTGATATGGACACAGGCTCAAATTTATTTAGCTTCCCAGAGTTCTAAAGCTGTGATGGCTATAAATAGGTATCAGAGGACACTTGGTGATATTCCTTGTAAAGATTTGTTCAAAATATTTGACAGTATTGTTATTCCTATCCTGCGCTATGGCTCTGAAATTTGGGGATTTAATTACAGCAAAATAATTGAAGATGTTCATGTGAAAATGTGCAAATCTTTTCTCAAAGTGTCAAAGAATACATGTAATGTAATGGTGCTAGGTGAGTGTGGTAGAGCTCCAATGCAGCTTACATATATGACAAGAGCTGTCAAGTACTGGTGTAGGCTGATACAAATGGGCCCTGAGAGACTCCCCCACCAGTGCTACAGGATGCTCACTGCCCTTGATGATATGGGACGCACCACTTATGCTACTAATATTAAAAATATTTTATTCAGATTTGGATTTGGATATGCATGGATTTCCCAAGATGTTGGAGACAAAAATATTTTCTTATCAATGTTTAAGCAGAGACTATTTGACAATCTACAACAAACCTGGAGTGTAAATGTTAATAACCTATCTGACTCTTATTCATATAAACAATATAAATCCCTACTGACTGTTGAATACTATCTGAACTCATCACTTCCATCTCGCTTAAAAAGGATCTTATCACGCTTCAGATGCAGTAACTTTAGAATAGCTGCCAACACTGGAAGACATCAAGCTACACCATATGAAGAAAGACTCTGTCCTCTCTGTTTATCCCCAAAAAGTATTTTATTGAAAATGAATATCATGTACTTCTAATCTGTGAAGCTTATAGTTTTTTCCGTAATACACTTATTGGTAAATACATCAATACTACCTCTCAACATAACTTTATTTCTATAATCGCTTCTCATAATTATGATATTTTGCATAACACTTCAATCTTTTTATTTAAAGCACAACAAATAAGGCAAAGTAATATAATATTCATATCATGCATTTGTATCATGCATTGGTAATGTATGTAAATATGTATTATGTATGGATAAATATGTATTATGCGCAGGGATATTTACTGAATAAATCTATATGTCTGTCTGTATTTTGGGCCAAAGGCACTTATAAACATGATCTCGGGGATAAACAAGCTGGGATGTCTGTCTGTCTGGTACACGAACTCGCACCTATGCTTTCCTGATCATCTATCTAAAATATAAATTGTTACTGCCCTGCTTTCAATGAATATGATAAGGTTGGGCATGTCCATCTATTTGTGTCATGGCCTTGTTGGCGCTCCATGCACACACGTGCAACCAAACGTGCAAACAAGGGCATGCTACTCGTCATGTCATTGCACCTGCGATTCTATCTTCTGATTATTTTAGTGCCCTTCAATATAGATGACAGCACATGTGGTCTCCCCTTTGGACCCAAACGGCCATGCTCAGCCTCCTGCAGTGTGTCACCCCGGGCGCTTGTAGTTAGATTTAGTTCTTGACAAAGCGTTCCTGGTGGTGAAAGTAGAACGGTATCAATCCTGAATATCTGGTGTTGACCATAGATATACAATGGGTCATATTACTGAGAATTGAAACAGGTTGCATTACTCCATTAAAACAAATTACAACAATGTCTACTCATAGGTACGGTATCATTGTTGTATATATATTGAGTAGATTGTAGTGGATATTTCAATGTTATGATAGAATGTTTTTGTCAATGCATAACACATCTACTGATGGCAGCAACGAATGTATGAATTTCATTGCCTGCGGCATTCTGAGAGTATTTTACGGGACATGCAAAGTTTCATAACAATCTATTTCCACAGACGATGAGGGAACACACCTGTTAAACACAGAACAATGCTGTTTTCTCAACATCGCAAAACAAAGTTAAGTTAAACAGGAGATGTTCATAACCTTCGAATCTGTCTGTACCCGATAATGTGTGTCTATACTGCTCCTTGATTGATGGGAGTTACACCTGTCAGACTCGAATTTCTATAACAACATTAGCTGTACTGTAAAGACGGTTGAGAGCAACGAAAGGCCGTTATTGTTGTGTTTAAATTGGATAGAAAGCATAAGCTCTAAAAGTTTGCAGAATCTCATTGGTGTAATCAGTTCGTCAAATGTTAAAAATGGAACTTCGACCGCGAACAGTCACAAACTATAGACAGCTCCATGAAGGACAAACCTTTGCTCTGAACAAATCTGTGAGCAACTGTGTCACTGTTGGGATCTATCCAGTACAGAGAGTCATTTGAAAGTCTCCTCGGGTATGTTGATATATATAGGTTATCACGCGAGTGTGTTTTGGGATGGTTAATATCCTGCATTAGGAATAATCATTGTATTTAGCGAGCCTTGGCGAGCTAAATACATAGTGTTTATTCCTAATGCAAGGCTCACTAAATACAATGATTATTCGTAATGCAGGATGTTAACCATCCCAAAACACACTCGTGTGATAACCAATATATATCTTGATAATAACACAAGAGACCATGCAAACATGATAAAGGTGATTTTCAAGATGCATTTTATCTCCTGTACAATCAACCAGTTCCTTGTTGCGGGTACAGCAACGTGCAGCAAAACTTGGACAAAGTACTGTGACTGTCCACCCAGCTGTGAATGGCTACCTCGTAAGGATGGGAATAACTCGGTGCGCCTTGTGGCAGCAAGAGTTGTATGATCCCCAGGGACTTGAGATTGATACTAAGATGTGGCGTTGAGATTGACATCCAATGATCGAGGGGAAAATACCAGCGCCTTGAGCATGCACTAGTGCGTGGATATGTGCGCTATATAAATATTCAATAAATAAAATGTTTTTTTAACAAAACTTCTTTTTGACAAAACGCGATACATCGCCGTGTAGGAAACAGTCCGCAAAGAAGAACCTAACAATTGATTGTGGACAATATGATCTCTATGTAGAACTTACATGTTTGTGTAAACAGTCTACCAACATAAAACATGAAGTTTTTCAAGGTTAGAATGTAAGCAGAACTCACTGGAGTTCTCTTATTGTAATATTATAAAAAATTGTCAAGATTTCGACCAATCATGCTTTTTGAAGAATAGTTTTTTCAAACTGAAATGGCTGTGTCCATATCGAATATAATGAAGACAAAAAGAAATCTTAAACGCTATATTTAGAAATACTGCATTATTTGTTAATGTTTTATATATTTTTTAATTATCTTTAACAATTATCATACATACATGCATTCTACTGACTTCAAGGTCGTCTAAGGCACCATCATTCCCAATGCCTGGTAGCGGTTAGCCGGTTCGCCTCGAATATGTTTCTCAATCTCTCATAAACATTATTCATTATATATAACAGCATGGACAGGTATCAATGTAAAATAACGAAAATCACGAAAGAAATTAATTGAAACGACCAACAAGCCCACACGGCTGGTAAAATACAGATATACCTACACGAGTGTAATTTCATGAAAGAATTCAAAATATAATGTGGGCTACATGAATGGATTAATACTTGGCTTATTTCTGAGGGGGTTTTATTAATCGAAATTACATTTTATGATTAAAGGGTCTGCTTTATCTAGTGTAGTGGGCGGACTACCCTCTAGAAGAGGCTACCCGGAAAGACACAGGACATATTCCTACCCATCTATAAGACTGTTGTCCTCTCGTGTCTAGTGAGCGCCTTAGACTTGCTTCAGCTACAGCTACAGCTAAAAGGTCACCGAAGACAGCAGTCAAGTCGCCGGGATGTCTATATATTTAGCCCACATGCAGCTGGACGTATACAGATACGCATTTGGTCACGTACCGACTGTCTAACATAAAAACGATTTCAGTAGATGCTACCGGTGTGAGAAACTCGCGTCCCCTACCCACAAGTGAGTCCCTCCATTCATGCAGCTGGACGTATACAGATACCCATTTGGTCACGTACCGAGTTACGACAAGAAGACTGTCTAACATAAGAACGATTTCAGTAGATGCTACCGGTGTGAGAAACTCGCGTCCCCTACCAACAAGTGAGTCCCTCAATCCTACCGGTGTGAGAAACTCGCGTCGCCTACCCACAATTGAGTCCCTCCATGCTATGCAGCTGGACGTATACAGTTACGCATTTGGTCCCGTACCTAGCTACGACAAGAGAGACTGTCTAACATAAGAAGGATTTCCTCCATGCTACCGGTGTGAGAAACTCGCGTCCCCTACCCACAGGTGAGTCCCTCCATGCTACCGGTGTGAGAAACTCGCGTCCCCTACCCACAAGTGAGTCCCTCCATGCTACCGGTGTGAGAAACTCGCGTCCCCTACCCACAATGTGAGTCCCTCCATGCTACCGGTGTGAGAAACTCGCGTCCCCTACCCACAAGTGAGTCCCTCCATGCTTCCGGCGTAGAAACTCGCGTCCCCTACCCACAATGGAGTCCCTCCATGCTACCGGTCTGATAAAACTCGCGTCCCCTACCCACAAGAGTGTCCCTCCATGCAGCTGGTGTGAGAAACTCGCGTCCCCTACCCACACCCTCCATGCTGAGTCCCTACATGCTACCGGTGTGAGAAACTCGCGTCCCTACCCACAAGTGAGTCCCTCCATGCTACCGGTGTGAGAAACTCGCGTCCCCTACCCACAAGGGAGTCCCTCCATGCTGCCGGTGTGAGAAACTCGCGTCCCCTACCCACAAGTGAGTCCTTCCATGCTACCGGTGTGAGAAACTCGCGTCCCCTACCCACAAGTGAGTCCCTCCATGCTACCGGTGTGAGAAACTCGCGTCCCCTACCCACAAGTGAGTCCCTCCATGCTGCCGGTGTGAGAAACTCGCGTCCCCTACCCACAAGTGAGTGCCACCATGCTGCATGTGTGAGAAACTCGCGTCCCCTACCCACAAGTGAGTCCCTCCATGCTACCGGTGTGAGAAACTCGCGTCCCCTACCCACAAGTGAGTCCCTCCATGCTACCGGTGTGAGAAACTCGCGTCCCCTACCCACAAGTGAGTCCCTCCATGCTGTCGGTGTGAGAAACTCGCGTCCCCTACCCACAAGTGAGTCCCTCCATACTGCCGGTGTGAGAAACTCGCGTCCCCTACCCACAAGTGAGTCCTTCCATGCTGCTACCGATGTGAGAAACTCGCGTCCCCTACCCACAAGTGAGTCCCGCCATGCTGTCGGGGTGAGAAACTCGCGTCCCCTACCCACAAGTGACTCCCTCCATGCTACCGGTGTGAGAAAACTCGCGTCCCCTACCCACAAGTGAGTCCCTCCATACTGCCGGAGTGAGAAACTCGCGTCCCCTACCCACAAGTGAGTCCCTCCATCCTGCATGTGTGTGAGAAACTCGCGTCCCCTACCCACAAGTGAGTCCCTCCATTCTGTCAGTGTGAGAACCTCGCGTCCCCTACCCACGAGTGAGTCCCTCTCCATGCTACCGGCGTGAGAAACTCGCGTCCCCTACCCACTCAGTGAGTCCCTCCATACTGCCGGCGTGAGAAGCTCGCGTCCCCTACCCACAAGTGAGTCCCTCCATCCTGCATGTGTCAGTGAAACTCGCGTCCCCTACCCATAAGGGAGTCCCTCCATGCTACCGGTGTGAGAAACTCGCGTCCCCTACCCACAAGTGAGTCCCTCCATTCTGTCGGTGTGAGAGAACCTCGCGTCCCCTACCCACGAGTGAGTCCCTCCATGCTACCGGTGTGAGAAACTCGCGTCCCCTACCCACAAGTGAGTCCCTCCATGCTACCGGTGTTAGAAACTCGCGTCCCCTACCCACAAGTGAGTCCTGCTACCGGTGTGAGAAACTCGCGTCCCCTACCCACAAGTGAGTCCCCTGCTGTTGGTGTGAGAAACTCGCGTCCCCTACCCACAGTGAGTCCCTCCATGCTACCGGTGTGAGAAACTCGCGTCCCCTACCCACAAGTGAGTCCTTCCATGCTGAGAAACTCGCGTCCCCTACCCACAAGTGAGTCCCTCCATGCTGCCGGTGTGAGAAACTCGCGTCCCCTACCCACAAGTGAGTCCTGCTACCGGTGTGAGAAACTCGCGTCCCCTACCCACAAGTGAGTCCCTCCATGCTGCCGGTGTGAGAAACTCGCGTCCCCTACCCACAAGTGAGTCCCTCCATGCTACCGGTGTGAGAAACTCGCGTCCCTACCCACAAGTGAGTCCCTCCATGCTGCCGGTGTGAGAAACTCGCGTCCCCTACCCACAAGTGAGTCCCTCCATGCTGCCGGTGTGAGAAACTCGCGTCCCCTACCCACAAGTGAGTCCTCCATGCTACCGGTGTGAGAAACTCGCGTCCCCTACCCACAAGTGAGTCCTCCATACTGCCGGTGTGAGAACCTCGCGTCCCCTACCCACAAGTGAGTCCCTCCATGCTGCCGGTGTGAGAAACTCGCGTCCCCTACCCACAAGTGAGTCCCTCCATGCTGCCGGTGTGAGAAACTCGCGTCCCCTACCCACAAGTGAGTCCCTCCATGCTGCCGGTGTGAGAAACTCGCGTCCCCTACCCACAAGTGAGTCCCTCCATGCTACCGGTGTGAGAAACTCGCGTCCCCTACCCACAATTGAGTCCCTCCATGCTACCGGTGTGAGAAACTCGCCTCCCCTACCCACAAGTGAGTCCTTCCATGCTGCCGGTGTGAGAAACTCGCGTCCCCTACCCACAAGTGAGTCCCTCCATGCTGCCGGTGTGAGAAACTCGCGTCCCCTACCCACAAGTGAGTCCCTCCATGCTGCAGGTGTGAGAAACTCGCGTCCCCTACCCACAAGTGAGTCCTTCCATGCCACCGGTGTGATAAACACGCGTCTCCTACCCACAAGTGAGTCCCTCCATGCTGCCGGTGTGAGAAACTCGCGTCCCCTACCCACAAGTGAGTCCCTCCATGCTGTCGGTGTGAGAAACTCGCGTCCCCTACCCACAAGCGAGTCCCTCCATGCTGTCAGTATGAGAAACTTGCGTCCCCTACCCACAAGTGAAAACTCTCTTACCCAGAAGTGAGTCCCTCCATGCTGCCGGTGTGAGAAGTCTCCCCTACCTACAAGCGAGTCCCGCCATGCTGCCGGTGTGAGAAGACTCCCCTACCTACAAGCGAGTCCCGCCATGCTGCCAGTGTGAGAAGACTCCCCTACCTACAAGCGAGTCCCTCCATGCTGCCGGTGTGAGAAGACTCCCCTACCTACAAGCGAGTCCCGCCATGCTGCCGGTGTGAGAAGACTCCCCTACCTACAAGCGAGTCCCGCCATGCTGCCAGTGTGAGAAAGACTCCCCCACCTGTCAAGCGAGTCCCGCCATGCTGCCGGTGTGAAGAAGTCCCTCCATGCTGCCGGTGTGAAGACTCCCCTACCTACAGCGAGTCCCGCCATGCTGCCGGTGTGAGAAGACTCCCCTACCTACAAGCGAGTCCCGCCATGCTGCCGGTGTGAGAAGACTCCCCTACCTACAAGCGAGTCCCGCCATGCTGCCGGTGTGAGAAGACTCCCCTACCTACAAGCGAGTCCCGCCATGCTGCCGGTGTGAGAAGACTCCCCTACCTACAAGCGAGTCCCGCCATGCTGCCGGTGTGAGAAGACTCCCCTACCTACAAGCGAGTCCCGCCATGCTGCCGGTGTGAGAAGACTCCCCTACCTACAAGCGAGTCCCGCCATGCTGCCGATGTGAGAAGACTCCCCTACCCACAAGCGAGGATCTAGATCCAGACTTATAGGAATGTAGCTCGGCTCATTCTCCACTTTGAGCAAGGGGTTTTGTAATCACTATGGGCTGTGAGACGATACAGTTTAATTAAGGGAGATACAATGATGTTATGTACAACCCGGACCAGGTGAGACGAAACACGAGATTTTCTTGAATACGATAAACGGACACATTAAATTGTCGTATTCGGGAAAAATATAGTATTGGTCTATCAAGGCAAACACAAAAGATGTCACATGTAGTAAGTTTGCTATGTTTTTAACGCTGAAGGTGTATCTGCCCCATGTGCAGGTTTCGTTTTAACATACGGAAATCCATTTTTAATATTAACCATTGGAACGGCCCTAAGCCGCTTTTCTTGTTCCGTGTTTAGGCAGTCTCCTTTACGTGTGTAGCTCTAACACCCTGTGTGTATCTAGATCGGGGCAGTTTTATATTTGTACTGTCTTCTGTGTATTCACCCGTCTGAGTTCAGCTTGTAACAGCTTGCTTAAACTTTAATGATTCACGTTACAGGGTTATAATACTTACACTTCAACTGGGTGTATCCCTGTCAATGAGCATGAAAGCATGTCGAGCGAATCATTGTTCAAACGTCCACATGTATGCACTTGTCTTCATTGAGAAGAGCTGGCCTCCACTAGGAACAGACTAGGACAGCTACTCTGTTGACAGAAACCTCACAATCTGACTGACGTCTGGAACACATCGAATAAAGAATAGTTTCTTCTACATTTGGTCATTCTAATTTCAGTTTTCGCATCATGTTCATCTCACATATGGTATTTAGAATTGTACTTTATACAGTTTAACTGCAGCCTTGTGCAACCCTATTTTGTTGTTCATCTTCTGTGAGCTATACTTACCTGTCGAGTGCATTGTCTTCATTACCACCTGGCTTGTTCACAATCACAGACAGATACAGAGCGACCACATGTACGTGCGGGCACAGGCAGTTTACGTGATGTGCATGTTATAAATAGTATATTATGTTCCCTCTTCGGATACAATTTTCATATAACACTGCCCTTCTGCTTTCTTCGCGCGAGGGCTTATTCACCAAACCGATTTTTTTTTACAATCAGTCCTTCATACACGCATGACTTACAACACCTGTTCACCAATCCCTGTTCACTAATCACTGAGTAGAACTATGTTTAAATCATACACACGCCTCACGCCACATGCTGCCAACTGACATGGTCTGATGTACTGTTGGCAGGGCGTGTACAGCAGTGAATGACCAGGTTACTGCATATATAAACCGCACAGTTAGTCGGGGCTTTGTGTGAACAGTGACAGACATGAAACAGCATTGCTCACCTTGAGAGTTGAGAGTGTGTCGGGATGGTTACACTGTCCTCAGCCAGCCTGTCCTCGCACAACCGGAATCAATATTCATGTCAGGCAGCGTATATGTGGGTTGCCTGTGGTAGCAAACAGGTCAGTGACGGTCTCTGTGTTTATCTAGTCAGTCTCAACCTAGCATTATAACAGAAAATAGCTACAAGCTGGAGATAGTCACCACTTGGCACTCAACCGTAATCTGTTTGCCACATGAGTTTTGGTAAATATTGATTGTGAAAGGATCGTGTCGCGGTATATGTCTAATGAATGAAGTATTACGTTGTAGTAGCTTACCTTTTGCTTTATTTACTTTATATGTTGGGACAACTATTGGTGTGCGCCAAGCAGAACGCGTACTGGCGATATTTCTATCAGTGTGTGCTATGTATAGATACTAGCGCGGAACTTTAATCATAGACTCACGCAAGTCTATATGGAAATGATAATAAGTTAAAGATGTCATTTCTAGATGGTGTAAATGATAAGAACACGCTGTCCCTATAAAACACTATCGTTCTGTACAGTCTGCTGATACTGATTTGCCTTTAAACAGCTTGGTTACTGTGTACAAACACGGACATTTCGGCTACAATACAGACTTTCACAAGTCAACTTCAGCCAACCTTCGCTTCCTGCTACTGGGATTGTGCAGGCGATGCAGTACACCAGCTGCTATAACCGATCATGTAACCGCTGCTTCGTGTCAACGATTTTCAATATTAACTTGTACTCTTTCAGACTTTTCCGGCAGTCTGAAGTCAGCAGCGTATTCGTGCTTTTTTTTTGTTGGTTTCTCGAAACTGAAACTCGTCTAATGAAAGACAACAGGTTACTTTTACAGGTGTACCACTGTGCAAGAGCTGTTTAGTTTTTCATCACTTCTGAATAACAAGAAACGAACCAGCACCGGACTCGTTATTCAGTGAATGTCCATCAATTGTATGATGTTAGTAAGGGAGAAAATGCAAAAGATTGTACTTTCAACCATGACAGCATGACAAAACCTATTATTTACAACAATAATCATATGACGTTTGTGTTTTTTAAGGGTATTTCTCTATCTATCTATCTATCTATCTATCTATCTATCTATCTATCTATTTTCAAAAGAGATGACCTTATTTCTCCGACAAAGAAATGTCAGTCTATCTAGGTCAGTGGAAAATTAGTTTAGCAAATTAGTTTTAGGCCAAGGACACAATCAATATCAAAGCAGCCATGACTGTGACTGTGCGTTGAACTATCAGTCTAACGGACCTTTGTTCCAGTTCAGTGGAACACGGCATGATGCAAATAAGTTCAGGACACAAACAGTATTATAATCAAGATTTTGACCCGTGTTTGGGAACTTGATTATACCCTTAAAAAGAAGAAGGGGAACGATAACAGTCTAGCAGTTTACTGTCAGTGGTGTTGTGTTACAGAATTGGATACAATTGATAAACAGAAATACATGGCATCTGGATTGACAATAATATGAATACATGAAATATATACAAACAACTTCGATATGAAATATCAATATTTGTATAACTTAAGGGGAAGCTAGATAGATAGGGGATATAGCTAAGTATACGTTCATGTCTAGAGAGAGCATTCGACATGTAAGTGAAAATGAATACATATATGCTTGGATTAATACCTCTAAACTATGATGCGTATTTCATTACATGATGATAGATATATACGCAACATATACATACAAATTAAGGTAAATACATATCTTAAAACACACAACGTATTGTGCATGATCATTCATAACAGAAATAGTTAATACGTATTACCCATATAAAAACAAGGGATAATTACGCATAACAGTGCACGTGTCTAAGTGGGTTTATATTAGAAGGTGAGCAACCAATACAATCATAAACTGTCTAGATTATTCCATACATATATAAGACAACAGTATCAAATAACAAGGCGTAAATGTTTCTTACCTTAATAAGAAGAAGAGGAACGATTACAGTCAAGCAGTTTACTGTCAGTGGTGTTGTCTACTGACCAGTGAAGATGCTTGGCTTTTATAGTAATCGCCCTCCTGTGTTTTGACTTTGAGTGATACCTTACTGAATGAATTGTACATTGTCTTGATGTTTCAGATACAGATTCAGATTCAGTTTATTCGGTAATTCTGGCCTTAAGGCCTACATTACAATTGATGTTACAAAATACAGACAGACCGCTGAGTGCGGCGTAAAACTAAACTCACTCACTCACTCACTCAAGTGAAATAATAAATTCCATGTGTCGCAAGTTTTAGAAAGAGACACTCTACAACTGACACTGTCTTTGGCGGGGTAAAGGATATTGACGGGGTGAAAAGGGAAAACATGTGGTCGAACTTATGAGTTTAGTAGCAAAACAGGAAAACTGCAGTGTGTATATAAACATGTGTGTTTGGAACAATGGCGCTAAATCGTATAATTTTAAAAATAACATTAATGTCCGCCAAGAAAGTACCTGAATCCCATTCTAAATGGAAACCTGCAGAAATTGTTTCATTATATAAATACTTTGATGTGTGCTTTAGAAGTAGTTGCTCCAAGGACGCATATAACATTTATTTGTTAGCAAATAACATTCTTGCAGGCTCATCAAAAGATGAGCATCGTAGAAGTTGGCAAGTACAATATCGACAAACTTGGATAACAAATACAAGAAGAAGTTATACACGTAAACACTTGTTGGGTGTAACATCACAAAACGTACGGATGTTATGTTGATGTTAGGTTTTCAATATATGTCTATGTGCGTGTGTCCTTGAAGCGTATAATGATTTAAGGCAAAGCAACTAAAATAACAAGTTCTACCATTATTCAAAGGTCATCACATTTTGTGAATTGAATCATGATTGTACAGAAACTAACAGCTATTTATTGATCTTTACTTATGATGCCAGGAAACATCCCAGAATACTTAGCCAAACAATGAATAGGTTTGATGTGGTAATATATTTGGTGGTGGATCTGGTATGGTGTGGGATGGCATTTCTGGCGGAACATACTGACGCCCTTCAGTAACTTGGACAGGCGATGCAAGTGAGTGTGACCGACTTTTTCAAATCATCATTGAGAGACACATTCGCAGTTTGCCTCCTCGACTGAAAGAACGTTTGAAAATGTGATGGCGGTATTGTGCTACTGACCAAAATGCATCAACTTTGACAGTTTCCATTATACCCCATTCGTCCTTCACAATCAGTGGCAGTCATAACATCTACTCACATGCTTCACCGCGTTTTGTCACGTGTGCCCACTTCGTTCATTATTGTCGTACAACTTTTTCTAGAAACTAACACCTCTCACAATTTCCGTATATCTTCTACTTGTTAAATGTATAAATCACTGCCTGACGCTGATTAAGACTCCAGTAATCGTAACGATCAAGAAAATGGCAGTATGAGCGTTTAGCTTATTCTCTGTGGCCCTTTCCACGTGACCAGCAGCTGCCCTGGGACAGGGGAGTGGTATCCCTGTCTTATCAATGGTTTGTCCGCGTGTGACTATTCCCAGGTATTGGCGATTAGTCCTGAGAGAGCGCGAGGGTAATCACTTCATCCGATCACGATGTGTGGCGCCACTTGGACCCCGTTGCTCCTGGCCCTGTTCGTGTCCCCTGCTTCCAGCCTGATTGGGCCCATGTCAAAGCCAAATGGAGATGCAGATTTGAACAGCATCACAAGTCACGTGACTTTGATGGAACAGACGGTGAAGAGTCTCGAGGCCCGGTTCCAGACAGTAACAACCGATCTGACAACTGTAAAAGCCGATTTGAAAACAACGAGGACAGAATTATCCTCCCTTCAACTCCAGCACACTGGGACACTGCGGGATCTCACCGTTACGCAGACACAGCTGAAAGATGCATTGACAGAACTACACACTGTGAAGGATGATCTCAAGAAATCACAGTCAGAATTAGCTCTAGTGAAATTTCAGCTACAATCTTCAAATCTATCAGATTTGCCCAATCTGAAGACTGAGCTTAAAACTGTTCAAACTGAACTTTCTGCTGCAAGATCTCAGCTTAACGGAACCTCGTCTGAGCAGAGTGCTATTAAGCATGAACTTGTACAACTAACTTCCTCTATGAAGACACTGAACGCCCAGATAAATGAGACCATTTTGGATGCAATCAGTTCTGACCTGAAGTCGAATTTGGCGGAAATAGATTCACTAAAAGCGGAAATTTCCCTCACCAGGGCTGATACGAACAGAACTGCGTGTGAAGTGGAGATGATTCAGGATTATATGAATTCCTCATCTGCAGCTGTTGGGGACTTAAAAAAAGAACTAACTTCCTTGACACAAACAATGGAAAACGCTACCCTGGAGGCGAACACAACGCAGATTGAAGTCAGTCATTTGAAGAAAGACCTTTATGACTTGAAACAAAATGTCGAGGACCAAAGTAAAATGCTGAATAATATTTCCTCTTCCATAGGTGAGTATACATATTGTGCAATTACCAAACGAGTGGTTTACAATCACACACTAGTACAGAATTATTTTGAGCTTGTGTGGACCAAATCTTTGAGGTACAGTGGACTCTGTATAATCCGACATCTTAATTATCCGACAATCTGTGCATTCCGACTCCATTTTCTGTCCCCAATGACACTATTAATCTGTACAATCCGACATCCTCTCCCTATATTGGACTAACATTGCCAATCAACCTGTCAATGGCCAGTTGGCAACTAACATCCTGTTACTGGCAATCTCTCTGGTCCCAGCACTTACTAACTGGGAGGTAATTAGCAGTGTGAGAACGCCTGTACCTTTGTTTTTACAAGCTGAGTGGCCAGTGCGAGGACCTAGGTATATTTTGTCAAGCACAGGATGAATGGGCTGTGATTCGAGCATTCAAGGCCAGGTATCGACTACATCTTCTCAAGTTACTTATCGTCAGGATGGAAGACTGTCACAAGACAGATGAACTTTGCAAATCTATATCAGTCATTGATGCAATCAGGTGGATTTGTTTTTTTCCCTATATTTACCAAGAAAATAGCTATTAAACATTAATTTCCTCATAGCAGCTAGTTACAATGTATGGTACTGTTTGAAACGTATTCAAGCAAGGAGACATCCGACACTCTGTATCCGACCTTTTGTCCCGGTCCCAGTGAGTGTCGGATTATACAGAGTCCACTGTAGTTCATACACGAAAGTTGTTTCTGATATGGATTACTGACTGGTTGTGATTGTGTTGATGGCTTTCTGGTGGATGTCAGTCGGGCTGATAGGTTTACAATTGGTGGTACATGTGTTGATGACATGACAATGGGTAGTTCGTGTGTTGATGACATGACAATGGGTGGTACGTGTGTTGATGACATGCCAATGGGTGGTACGTGTGTTGATGACATGCCAATGGGTGGTACGTGTGTTGGTGACATGCCAGTGGGTGGTACATATGTTGATGACATGACAGTGGGTGGTACGTGAGTTGGTGACATGACAGTGGGTGGTACGTGTGTTGATGACGCGGCAATGGGTGGTACGTGTGTTGATGACATGACAGTGGGTGGTGCGTGTGTTGATGACATGCCAATGGGTGGTACGTGACAGTGGGTGATGACATGAGTTGGTGACATGACAGTGGGTGGTACGTGTGTTGATGACGCGGCAATGGGTGGTACGTGTGTTGATGACATGACAATGGGTGGTGCCTGAATTGATGACATGACAGTGGGTGGTACGTGAGTTGGTGACATGACAGTGGGTGGTACGTGTGTTGATGACGCGGCATGGGTGGTACGTGTGTTGATGACATGACAATGGGTGGTGCCTGAATTGATGACATGACAGTGGGTGGCACGTGTGTTGATGACATGACAATGGGTGGTGCCTGTGTTGATAACATGGCAATGTGTGGTGCCTGTGTTGATGACATGACAGTGAGTGGTATGTGTGTTGATGACATGACAATGGTTGGTGCCTGTGTTGATAACATGACAATGCGTCGTACGTGTGTTGATAACATATGGCTAATGCTAGATGGGTGAGTGGTTGTTGTCATGATAAGAAAGTGGTGGGTTTTGGTTTATAATTTGTTTAATACCGACATTCGTGTTGGCATATTGGTGGGCGGTACTCGTCCAGATGAGAGGATTTGTGGATGATACTGATGTAGAAGGCATACTGGTGGGTGATGCTTGTGCTGATGACACCACCAGTCGTGGATGATACTGATGTAGAAGGCATACTGGTGGGTGATTCTTGTGCTGATGACACCACCAGTCGTGGATGATACTGATGTAGAAGGCATACTGGTGGGTGATTCTTGTGCTGATGACACCACCAGTCGTGGATGATACTGATGTAGAAGGCATACTGGTGGGTGATTCTTGTGCTGATGACACCACCAGTCGTGGATGATACTGATGTAGAAGGCATACTGGTGGGTGATTCTTGTGCTGATGACACCACCAGTCGTGGATGATACTGATGTAGAAGGCATACTGGTGGGTGATTCTTGTGCTGATGACACCACCAGTCGTGGATGATACTGATGTAGAAGGCATACTGGTGGGTGATTCTTGTGCTGATGACACCACCAGTCGTGGATGATACTGATGTAGAAGGCATACTGGTGGGTGATTCTTGTGCTGATGACACCACCAGTCGTGGATGATACTGATGTAGAAGGCATACTGGTGGGTGATTCTTGTGCTGATGACACCACCAGTCGTGGATGATACTGTTGTCGCTGACATATTGCGTATTTAGACGATTTAAACGACAATTTTATTGGCAATATGTGTGTTGGTTAATGGCACAAGTGGTGATGACATATCGATGAGTCGTTTTACTAGTTAAAAAATCAACTTTCTAACACAATGTGGCTTGACAACGGTTCAAACGTTCGCAGTAGTCCTTCAGAATAACGTTGCATGGACGTAATAATACAACGTCGTCACATCGTGAGATATTTAACAACGGAAATGCTATGGTAGCAGTGACAACGTAAATTGTACACAGAATAAGGATGGAATTGGTAATGGGTAGTATTTGTCTTAATATCATAAGGGTTGCAAATTCATTAATCGGTCAAATGTGTGGATTTCAAATAGGCGGATGAAGCAGTTGTGGATGTCCGATTGGTGGATGATGCTGGTTGTGGATGACAGATTGTGGATGATGCTGGTTTGGATGCCAGATTGTGGATGAAGCTGTTGTGGATGACAGATTGGAGGATGAAGCTGTTGTGGATGACAGATTGGTGGATGCTGCTGGTTTGGATGTCAGATTGGTGGATGAAGCTGTTGTGGATGTCAGATTGGTGAATGCTGCTGTTGTGGATGCCAGATTGTGGATGAAGCAGTTGTGGATGCCAGATTGTGGATGAAGCTGTTGTGGATGCCAGATTGGTGGATGAAGCTGTTGTGGATGCCAGATTGGTGGATGAAGCTGTTGTGGATGACAGATTGGAGGATGAAGCTGTTGTGGATGACAGATTGGAGGATGAAGCTGTTGTGGATGTCAGATTGGTGGATGCTGCTGTTGTGGATGACAGATTGGAGGATGAAGCTGTTGTGCATGTCAGATTGGTGGATGAAGCTGTTGTGGATGTCAGATTGGAGGATGAAGCTGTTGTGGATGTCAGATTGGTGGATGAAGCTGTTGTGGATGACAGATTGGTGGATGATGTTGTGGATGTGATTGGAGGATGAAGCTGTTGTGGATGTCAGATTGGTGGATGAAGCTGTTGTGGATGTCAGATTGGTGGATGAAGCTGTTGTGGATGACAGATTGGTGGATGAAGCTGTTGTGGATGACAGATTGGAGGATGAAGCTGTTGTGGATGACAGATTGGTGGATGAAGCTGTTGTGGATGTCAGATTGGAGGATGAAGCTGTTGTGGATGTCAGATTGGTGGATGAAGCTGTTGTGGATGTCAGATTGGTGGATGAAGCTGTTGTGGATGTCAGATTGGTGGATGAAGCTGTTGTGGATGACAGATTGGTGGATGAAGCTGTTGTGGATGACAGATTGGTGGATGAAGCTGTTGTGGATGTCAGATTGGAGGATGAAGCTGTTGTGGATGACAGATTGGTGGATGAAGCTGTTGTGGATGTCAGATTGGTGGATGAAGCTGTTGTGGATGTCAGATTGGTGGATGAAGCTGTTGTGGATGTCAGATTGGTGGATGAAGCTGTTGTGGATGTCAGATTGGTGGATGAAGCTGTTGTGGATGTCAGATTGGTGGATGAAGCTGTTGTGGATGACAGATTGGAGGATGAAGCTGTTGTGGATGTCAGATTGGTGGATGAAGCTGTTGTGGATGACAGATTGGTGGATGAAGCTGTTGTGGATGACAGATTGGAGGATGAAGCTGTTGTGGATGTCAGATTGGAGGATGAAGCTGTTGTGGATGACAGATTGGTGGATGAAGCTGTTGTGGATGTCAGATTGGTGGATGAAGCTGTTGTGGATGTCAGATTGGTGGATGAAGCTGTTGTGGATGACAGATTGGAGGATGAAGCTGTTGTGGATGTCAAATTGGTGGATGCTGCTGTTGTGGATGTCAGATTGTTGGATGAAGCTGTTGTGGATGACAGATTGGAGGATGAAGCTGTTGTGGATGTCAGATTGTTGGATGAAGCTGCTGTGGATGTAAGATTGGTGGATGAAGCTGTTGTGGATGTCAGATTGGTGGATGCTGCTCTTGTGCATGTCAGATTGGTGGATGATGCTGTTGTGGATGTCAGATTGGTGGATGAAGCTGTTGTGCATGTCAGATTGGTGGATGATGCTGTTGTGGATGTCAGATTGGTGGATGCTGCTGTTGTGAATGTCAGATTGGTGGATGAAGCTGTTGTGGATGACAGATTGGTGGATGAAGCTGTTGTGGATGACAGATTGGAGGATGAAGCTGTTGTGGATGTCAGATTGGAGGATGAAGCTGTTTTGGATGACAGATTGGTGGATGAAGCTGTTTTGGATGACAGATTGGTGGATGAAGCTGTTGTGGATGTCAGATTGGAGGATGAAGCTGTTGTGGATGTCAGATTGGTGGATGAAGCTGTTGTGGATGACAGATTGGAGGATGAAGCTGGTTTGGATGTCAGATTGGAGGATGAAGCTGTTGTGGATGTCAGATTGGAGGATGAAGCTGGTTTGGATGTCAAATTGGAGGATGAAGCTGGTGTGGATGTCAGATTGGTGGATGAAGCTGTTGTGGATGTCAGATTGGTGGATGAAGCTGTTGTGGATGTCAGATTGGAGGATGAAGCTGTTGTGCATGTCGGATTGGTGGATGAAGCTGTTGTGGATGACAGATTGGAGGATGAAGCTGTTGTGGATGACAGATTGGAGGATGAAGCTGGTTTGGATGTAAGATTGGAGGATGAAGCTGTTGTGGATGTCAGATTGGTGGATGAAGCTCTTGTGGATGACAGATTGGAGGATGAAGCTGTTGTGGATGACAGATTGGTG